GGATGAGGAAAAGAAGTCTGGAGATAAATGTAATATTTAAGAAAAGTTTTGTAAATGTCTGCCACTGGATGTTCACTAAACCTGTAGTGCCACTAAAGCAAGCTTCTCATGTCCACTACCTCCTAGCTAGCGGAGTTCATTTGCCCGAACACACAGACACCACTTTGACCATAAATAGGGAGAAAATATGAACTCAGAAAAATACTCCAAATAGTCTCTCTTAGACCCATCTAGCTGCACGGTGGCTTAAGCTTCTTCTGAAGATCCAGAGTGTTTTATTAATCTATTATGTATTGTGTGTATTACAGAAGCACCTCATAATATTACTGTTTATACTGTCTGGTATAAGTGGTGAGTATTCGAAAATTCTACTGGGCTACTTGCCCAGGAGAAGTAATTTTCTTTTGACAGGTCAATAAACTATTTTTCCCCACTATCATCATGGTACAGAATAGAGGAGTAATTTTTTCCAGGGTTAGTAAATTTCTATTTCAGTTTTGCAAGGGTAAGCTAAATCATGGCATTTGTATTCTGCGTGATGTTTTGAACAATACCATAATGAAGACTTTTATACAGCTTCAGCATGAGTTTGACTTGCCTGAACATCAGACTGACATAAGCTCCTTTACTACAGTAAAGCAAAAACGTAAAACAGCTCCTGAAAACCATCCAGTCTGTTCTATACTAAATCAATTGGGCAAGATTCTTCATGAGACCTCTAATACCTCTAGGGCATCACACAACTCTCTAGAACCCAACACAAGTCTGAAGGGTCTTTCTGACAATGATTCAGTATGACTATATCATATGCAGATGGGTAATTTTAAAAATACATTTTCTATGATAACTTGATGAACCTTCATACCAGGGCACTTCAGTTTAATATTATCCACCATATACACTGGGATCTGACTGAGTCTCCTGTACATGCTGTCATGAAAACCTAATGCCCAGGATTAGCTGGGGAGCTCAAAAGAATTATCTTTGCTCACAACTGTGACAAACCCCTTTGAATTCTAGTTGTGTTCTAATCTAGGCAGTACCTCCCAACTTTCTGGGCTTTCCATTACGGTGCTTCAATGGTCACTTAGTGCCATTTTGACAGGCAACAGATTATACTGACTACATGAAAGGCCCAGACCATAGCAAGTACTGATTCCCTTACAGCAGAGGTTCTCAAACTGGGGGTTGGGACCCCTCAGGGGGTCGCGAGGTTATTACATTATAACATCTCTTATTAAGTTTTCTGTGTATTTCTGAGTACAGTTTCTAAACATATAAAGATAGCCTCAAGAGGAAGGCGGATGAAAAATGTAACCAGTTTTTCACGTGTTTTCTACACTGCCATATCATGCTATTCAAAAAGTGCCTCTTCAGCTGCAGTGTTTTATATTTTACTCAGTGCATTTCAAAAACATTTTAAATTCTTTTGAAATACCTCAAAATTCCTACTTCTAAGATGCGGCCTTTATAAATTATTTAGGTTTTTTTTTTTTTAAACCAAATGAGCATGGGAAGCAAAAACATATTAATGTGCATTTGCAACCAATGTGCATTAGAAAACTAAATTAAGTTAGAACAGCTATAGCAAAAACTAACCCACAATATCTCAATCTGCTGATAAGAAACAGAGAGTTTTTTCCTCAGTTTTCTGTCACATTAGATAAAACTGCTTATTTTCTCATTCTCTGTATCAGATAATAAAGTTTTATCACTTGCTCACCCCTTACAATGTCCATATATTCTCTCTCTCAAAAAAAAACATCTTTCCACTTCAATCTAGTCAATAACCTCCATTGAAAGAAGCTAGATACAGAACTTAATCCAGTCCCTACTGAAGTCAATAAGAAGATTCCCATTGGCTTCAGCGGGAGCTAGATCAGGACCATAAAGATCTGGAACACAATGAGATCAATACAATACATTTGAACATCATTAGGAGACCACCTCTCATGAACATATATAATTAGCTGTCTTAAGGTTAAACATAAACAGTTCACTATATATATTTAAAAAAAAAATCAAGGAAGTACTGCTATGAAACACATTACAATCTGGAACACATCTACTGATGTTCATTTATTGTCCACCTCTGAAAAGAGGTGTACTTCACTATCTGGCATGAAGAACCTCACAAGGACTGGGAACATGGTTTTAAAGTAATGGAAATCAGTAACACAGCTCTCGTCACACTTTAAAAACCGCGGAGGCTTTTCAACGGTCTGTACTGAAACCCCAGAGTCCAGTCTGTTCAAAAGTCATAGATCAGGCAAACTGAAAAACTGGAACAGCCACTACACCCTGAAAAATGTAAAAATGGGCCAAGTATAGACCAGATGAAAGGACATGCTCTTGATGGAATTAGGAATATTTACACCAGGCCTGATTTTGGCCCTATATTGTAATACATGATTACACATAGCAGATGGCCTCTATGTAGATTTTCATTGTCTTGAAATAAATCCTTTACTTTATTGTCAATGTCACAACTCCTCCAATTCAAATATCCCTAGGTTAATTTATCTAAGACCATTTTCTTCTGGAAGGGGAAATCTGGCCACCCCACTGTACATTTCTCAACTGTCTGTATCACGTGAACAGTGTAGCACAGGTTTTTTTGTTTTATCTTCAGTAGAACGATCATTCCATTAAAAGCTTGGTATTAGTATTACAGTCAATGCTGAGAAATTGCTCATACAAATAACATACAATTTTTGTTTAGGAATCCTAGTAACCTCAGCTGTCCTTCATGCAGGAGTAAGTTCCAAAAGGAACTGTGGTTACCAAAAACATCTTTGCTACAAATGGAAAAAATTCAGTACAGAAAAATGTTAGCACACAACTATTATTTTTCTTCTAAAACAAAGAAAAAGACAATGGAATCAGAAGCATGTAGTGGCAGCACAACCAATTCAAAATTATAAACATCAAATCAGAAAGTCACCTACATGCTTTCATAGCTGAGAGTTAAAGTCCTACTAAAGGAGCCAACAGAAAGAAAATGACTTGGAAACAAGGAGTGAAGGAGAAAAATTACATCTCTTTAACCTAAATAAATATCTGTAACTTTGTTTTAAAAAACAACATCCTTTTACTTGTAGGGAAACCACCTGAAAACTGTTGCCTGCTGCTTTTTGAGGAAGTGGGGAGATAATATTAATAGGTACTGCCATACTAGATCAAAGCAGTGCTCCATCTCATCTAGCATCCTGTCTCCAGCAGTGCCCAGTACCAGATGCTTCAAAAAAAAAAATGTAAGAAACCCTAAAGTGAGCAATTATAGAATTATTTCATGCGGGGGACGGGGAGAGTAGAGGAGGAATTTCTTCCTAACTTCCTAGGCTAGAAGCTGTCTTAGGCCATGAAGCGTGAAGGTTTATATCCCTGCCAAACTTTGGGGGTTATTTATTTTGATAACCCTATGTAACATATAGGCAGAGCCAGATAAATATACAGTCTTTTTTAAATATTGCTAAGCTATTTCAGAAGTTCCTTCATCCCACTCCCTCTCCCCAAAAAATAATTAAAAGGGAATTATGTTTTTTTTAAAATAAGTAACTGAAATGAAGTTTTGCCTGATACTGCAAAAATATTTTGGTACAAAAACAGAATTACTCTTACCCTGATGATGACTGTTGTCTATTACCCAAGTAAGGGGCTAAGTGCATTAAGATCTATGGTTGAGGACAGCAGCTGAATATTGTTATTACAATACCACCAGCCTGTATCTTCACTAGCTTGGAGGGGGTTCTATTATCGGACCTCATCCTCTCCACCACTGAAACTCTCACAAATAACCACAGCAAGTTGAACAAGCAATGTTCACATTAGAAATGCTCTGGGGGCAGAGGAGTAATTATAGTTAAGAGTTGTGATCAAAAGTTTGGAAGTAGTTTTATTTCTTATTACCACAATTTTGTGAAAAGGAGACACTGCCAGAAAAGAATGCCTGACAAATACAGGAGGGAGAGTCTCTTTTATACTTTGCCAACATTTGTATAAGTTATCATGACCATATAGAGTATTATGCAAATTAAACCGAGCCGTGCGGTGTGTATACAAGTGTATAGTTGTTTGGTTTATGAGGAGCATGAATAACAAGCATCCATGTGGAGCATATATATATGGAACATGTATACAACAACCTCTGCAGTGTGTAAGGAGGTTGGGGGGGACAACACACGACTGAATAGAGATGTGTATGAGGTTGTATATCAAGGGAGGTGGTGTATCAATGAAGTTTCTATAGGGTTGAGTTGGGGCTATGTATAGGGTGTGTGGGAGGATTTTTATTGAGGGGAAAGTGTCTATGTTTGAGTAGGAGGTATATATAAGAGGGACTGGAAGAGTGTGTATATTGAGGGAAGAATCTATAGGATACATATGAAGGGGTAGGAATGTTCAGGAGACCCCGGAAGGGATAAGTATAGGAAAAGTGGGTGTGTACAGAAGATCCCAAAAGGGTAGGTATAAGAGAGGTGGGTGTGCATTGGAGAGTTCGGGGGGGGGGAAGTATAGAGGGGACAAGAGGACATGGGTATAAGGAAGGGTAGGTGTGCATAGGGGAGCCCCATAGGGGGCAGGTACAGGGGAGCCCATAGAGGGTAGGCACAAGACAGTGGGTGTGCATGGAGGAGCTCCATAGGGGGTAGGCACAAGACAGTGGGTGTGCATAGGGGAGCCCCAAAGGGGGTAGGCACAAGACAGTGGGTGTGCATAGGGGAAATGCACAAGTCAGTGGGTGTGGGTAGGGGAGCCCAGAGGCGGTGGGCACAAGAGAGGGGGCGTGTATAGGGGAGCCCCATAGGGGGCAGGTACAGGGGAGCCCAGAGGCGGTGGGCACAAGACAGTGGGTGTGCATAGGGGAGCCCCATCGGGGTAGGTACAGGAGAGTGGGTGTGTATAGAGGAGCCCCACAGGGGACAGGTACAGGAGAGTGGGTGTGTATAGAGAAGCCCCATAGGGCTGGGTACCGGGAGCCCCCTCCCCGCCCCACTTACCCCGCTGCCCCTGCGCAGGGCGGCCGGCCTGGAGCAACAGCAGCAGGAGCAGCCGCCGGAGGCGCTGGGCTGCGGTGCCCGGCGGGCTCATGTCCCTCCCGGCCGCTCTCCGCATGCCCCACGGGGCGGCGGGAATCCTGCTGCGCCCGGCCCCGCTCTCCCGGGCGGCCCCCACACCGGCCCATATAAGGCAGCCCCGCCCGAGGCCCGCCCACCCCCCGGGCCAGCCAGCCCGCCCGCCCCACCTTACCCGCTCCCGCAGCCTGCGCCCGGCCCCACAGCGTCTGTGCCCGACCCCGGCCCTCACGTCGCCTCCCCACCGCCTCAGCGGGCTCCTCAGCCCTCACCTCTGCACCCCCAGGGCTGCTGCGCCACCCCTCCCCCAGTTCCTCAAATCCCACCCATAGGGCTGCTGCGCCACCCCCCAGTCCCTCACACCCCACTGCCCTAGGGCTCCTCTGCCCCCCCAGCCCTCCACTACCCTCCTCTACCCCCAACACACTTCCCCTTGAACAGCCCTCCACCTCCGCTCCAGCCCCCCATGGGCCTCTCTCCTCCCTGCCCTCCCCCCTTCCCTGCTGCATGGCCTGTGTCCCACTGTGGCACAAGTGGCCCAGCTGATAAGGGCTATATTTGGCCTGACTGGTGTAGTTTCAAAGGGATTATTTGTTACTGTCACAGGCAGAGGGGTTGAGAATAATACTTGTTTTATGTACGATTGTAGACAGCAGGTCATTGTGCCAATTAGACCATCTGGCTTTGACTTCTCTCAAACCTTCCGCAAATGAGACTGAAAATCACATACATATTCAGAGACATTCTGTGTTAAGTTAGCTGGTACCCACAAAATTCACTAATTTGTGGAATTGTCAGAGAGAAGTAACTTCTTCCTCCTCGAGCTCCTTTAACCCCTCTTGTTTAGCATGACTTCAAGGGTCTTAAGACACTTTCTAAAAATTTCCCACTGGTGCGAATATAATTGTGGGAATTTTTTAGTATCCTTACATATTGAGATTTAGCATTGGCCCCGCTTAGGCTACGAGGCAGCTGTTTTAGAGTCCATTTGCTCTTCAATACTGACTAAAATATACCTAAAACTTGTTTTGCATCTCTACCAGAGGCATTCTAAGGCTACCTACCATCAGCAATGCTGAAGAAAGGGGCGCCTGACTTGGGAAGTTACATAAATGTTGTAGGAATTCTGATTTTTGTCCAATAACTTTCTTACAGGAGTTGCTCAAGTTCTAAATACTTTAGTATTAAATCACCTGAAAATAAAGCCAATGTCATCAAATCTACCATCACTTTTCAGTTCAAATGATATAACCTAGCCCATAGGCTCTGCTCTGCCCTCACATCCAGATATTTTTCCTAATAGTGAAGACTGCATTTCAATTGAACCCAGGTTGTCCAAAGAAAATCCAGTTTTCCAAAACAAACAGACTGTTTATTGGTTTGATTTACTGCTGAATGCCTGTAAATATAGTAGGAATACAAAATTATGTAACATGTTGACTTAATTATTGAAGCTGTCAATATTCCATTGCATAGGATCACATTCTACTGCCCTTACGCCCCTTGAATAGTACCTTACCTCACCAGGACTCTTTGCAGAATAAGGTGCTATTCAAACTGAGTCTGACAATCAGGCCTTTCATTGTGTTTTAACAAGCTCCATGAGAGGGGACAATGTTTTCTGCATTTTGTACAGTGCTGAGCAATATAGCAGCATAATAAATACTGAAAACCAATGAAAAAATACTACATAATCTTTAGTCTAATAATGTTAACAGAACTGTTCTGCCTAATTAGATTAAAGTGTTAGTTGCAAGTTGTCCCCCTACCGTGTGTATTTATGCAGGATGCAAGCTTATCTATTGTACCAATAAGTCTCCACCTTTTCCTTCTTAAAAAATGATAGATCTATAATGAAAGTGAAATTAGAAATAGTCTAGCAAACAGGGAAAAATATTGTTCACCAGAAAATCAGCAAAACTGTGAGCCTATTTGCGGTCATCACACATTTTCCTCTTTACTAAATTAATGTTTCATTGAATTTCTTTAGAGATTATTTGCAGAAAGTAAACAGCCAGGCCAGGAATAAGGATCAGTGGGGATTGAATAGATGGTACTTAGGATGTAATTTGTTTGAGGATAATCAAATTAGGTGGGGGGGAAGCTACTTTAGATTAGATCTGTGATCCAACCATGGGCAAACAAAGCAGAAACTTCACAATTGGGGCCCAGTTTGGCATCAGAGTGCACAGGTAATTCCTACAGACTAGGTTTACTTGGTCCTGGCTCAGTGCAGATGGCTGGACTAGACGGCTTCTCAAGGTCCCTTCCAGCCTTACATTTCTATGTTCTATGTCTCAGGACTCTTACCTTGCTCCCACTCCTAGCTGGGGGAACCTCAAAATTCAGGTTGATTCAGGTCCTGTATAGCTTAAAATCCATCTCTACAGCTACCGAATAACAGTTCAGAAAAACATCTGCATGGATTTTCTGATCTGGACAGGATAAGGATTTTATCTTTTCACTATCATATTTAAAAAAGAACAGGAATACTTGTGGCACCTTAGAGACTAACAAATTTATTAGAGCATAAGCTTTCGTGGGCTACAACGGATCCAATTTGTAAATACATTTCCCTTTGTTCCTAATAGCATTAAATCCCACTACTCAGAAGGCATCTGCACCGCTTGCCTTGTATTTCTCTTCCCTGTGATCAGAAAACAGTTAAGATGGTCAGAGTAATTAAATTCAATCTGAGACACTCCTGGAACTTCTCCATTCAGCCTCCTTGCAGCTTTCTAAATGGAGATAATTGAAACTCAAAAAGGCAGGCAGGAGTAAACACATCCTAAGCAGTTTATGTTCACTCTTCATTTCCTTCCCAGAGGGAAATGGTCACATAATATATAAATCACATTTTCTGTAAGAATGCCTTGCACAGATACTATCTATTTTGACATTTGAGGACCTAAAATATTAAATGGATTCTGATGACTATTGCAGCAAATTTTTTGTAATACATGGCAAATATTTGAATAAATGTAAGTCACCTCTGAGAATGGATATTCACCCATTCATATGTCCTGCTATCAAATCATTGCTTTCCGAGTGGCTGAGAAGAGAATAACTATAACCCAATGGCCGGCACTCTGCACATCTGACATGAAGACCAAATGGTGTGCTTCTGGTCTATTCAAAATCAGCTTAATTAAGAATTGGCTTCTGGCTCTCCCTTTAGTTACCAAGGTAAGCAATAACTCTTGTTGAGCCAGAAGTAATAACTGAAAAATGGCTGGCCCCCTTCAGCTTCTAATCAAAATGCTTCAATGATTATTGTGAAGTGGAAAGTGGTTTTCTTGTCATAACTTTCACTACGGAGGAAATATCACCACTTACGTTTGCGTTTGCAGTGTTTCTGTTCTGTGCTCTGAGATGCAATTTTCTGTAGTTATCTGTATCCCCCCTGCCTGTCAACTACTGACAAATGAATTCATGATGGAAAAAAATGAAACACCTCTGCAGAGAGAGTAGGAGTGAATTAGAAATTTATAAATCTGATTAACCCCCTTCACTTCTCAATTCTTCTGCAACATATTCCTACAGATAAAGAGGACATTAGAATATGCCTGGAACATACATCCAACCCCATAAGCATTCTGGGTGATCATGGTTGGTAATGGATGCTATTAATCAGGAGAAATGGTTCCACAGAGCAAGAAAGAACTATCTACTGGTTGTAGCACAGGATGAGGTGACTGAACGCCTGCTCTGCCAATGATCCACTGTGACATTAGATAAGATAATCTGTGCCTCAGGTTACCCAGTTGTGAAATGAGGATCATTTAGTTCTCATATGGGTGTTTTCATGCCTAATGTTTGCAGAATAATGTAGCATGATCAAAACAAAATATTTTAAATAAGGTTCAAGTGTCAGTGTAAACTGTGATTTAGGGAAGTCCCTTTCTTAAACCATATAAGTGAAGGGCCTAAGTCTTGACATCAATTGTTTCTGTGCGGGCAACACCCAGAAATTGTCAGGTCTTAGACTAGTTTAAGAGAACAGCTTCAACACTGTCACTTTCGACTGTTTCTTGTTATTCCCAATTTATGTAAATATCCTTAATGTTACACTGCTGTCTCGTCACACTCTGCTGTTGGTGCCATTGCACTTCTATAACTAGGACAAAAATGAGCATTGCTGGACGTTTGCAAACTCTGATCATGACTGCCATACCATATTCATACTTCCTTGAACACTGTCCTTCATGCCAGTCCATAAGGCCACTAACCTCTTCTCCCCAAGCCTTGCTATACCATGATGCCCACAAAAAATTGCCAACTAATAGCAGCCAGGACAAGAGCCAGCTGGTGATAATTTGATAAATATGGGGTTGGAGTGAACATTCATTGCATCTCTTATCCCTCTCCTACATTTTTATTCTCTTGTTTTCTTTAGGAGTTCTTTGGAGTGGGGCCTTAAACTATGTGTGGAGAGCCCTGGCACATCTAGGCACCCCTTTGCAGGTGATAAAATCATTAAAAAAAGAGGAAGACGTTATTCCTGTGTCACTGGAGCTCCGCAACCGTGTTGCCTGTGCGGATCCAGAGCAATTAAAAGCAAAATCATCAATATCAAGTCTGAACAGCTTTTACCTGTATCTTGGGCTGCTTAGCTAACAAGGAGCCGTTATCCCATCCTGTTCCCTTCCCTATGGGATAATAAGGTGGTCATCACCGGGGTAACACTTATATTTGCTTTACATTTTAAAAAAAACCAACAAAACTGTGGTAGAATCCCAGTCTCTAGTTCCTGTTCAGTTCTGAAGCACAACATAAAAGAAAGTAACAGTAGTTATGAGAGGAAGAGGGAACAAGCAGAGGACTTGAGAGTCCTGGGTTCATTTCCCTGCTCTGCCACAAACTTCCTGTGTGATCTTGGGCAAGTCACTTAGCTTCTCTGTGCCTCAGTTCCCCATGTGTAACATGGGGTTAATAGCAGTTCCCTACCTCACAGGGGTGTTTTGAAGATAAATACATTAAAAGATTGTGAACTGCTTTGAGATCTACTGAAGAAAAGCACTACACAGGCAATGGGTATTA